GGCGTCATATAAATTGGCGAAAGAAGTCCCAACTACTGCAAACATTGAACCCCCAGATGCTGACAAATTTTGTACACAGCATGTCAGGTCGCTTATACTATGTCCCACAGGCCCATAGTGGCCTTGTTAATTATCAATTTTTCTTTATTTTTCACCAAACATCTCTGTTGTGAAGATATCGAGTAGATATAAAACAACTTGTTATCTAACGAATAGTGGCCATAATGTACCCATAATTACCCTCTATGCTGAACGCGAATTTCTTAAAGCTCTCCAGTTTTTAAGAAGATGAGAGATAATGATTTTGGTAGGTTTTGTAAGCTTATGCAACGAGCTGCATTTAACGACAATGTTGTGCTGGAGAAAGTTATAGCATTCAGAATCTATGTTTATAGTTATTGCACTATATTTTCTTCAAAGCATAGTAAAACTCAAACGGACAATTTCAATATGGAGAATTATGGTTACTTAAAAAAACTCACCGATAATCATGGAGCAAATTGCTAGGATGTAGGGAATAGCTAGCACTTTCGAAATTCCAACAACAATATGTGAAGTCACTCCAGCAGTCACTGATAGAAAGCCGGCACCCAGAGACAATATCATTAAGGTCGATTGAACCCATTCAGGAGGAAAATCGTATGTAACTTGATGTTCGTCAATATACCTGCAGCAAACTAGCCTTTCTTAGCAGAAGCAGTTGTGCTCGCAGAAAAAAAACCTCACCATTGTTGGAAAGGGCTAGTGACTAAAGCAGCAAAGAAGCCATCGAGGATGCGCCCAATGAAGAGGATCATGAATGATGGGAAAAACTTGCAGGCGCAACCAAAACATCCAGCAACAAGGCATAGTAAACAGAGAGCCTTTCGCCCTTAATAAATTCTTCATAAACTTGGTGATTTGGGAGAAAAACAGAAAATAAACGAATTAAGCGAATACCATATCTGGCAGAAAGGTGGACGCAGTAGAAGCTGAACATCATGTTGGAGACAAGTCCAGCCACATATAAAACGGCTATCTGTGATGCCAGGTATCGTAGGTCATAGTAGAACGCGTAAAGATAGGGTGCCTAAAACTCAATATGAGCCTACTAAAAAAACAGTAGTATGATCTCACCCACGAGCTTCTAGTGCCTTAGAAACCATACTCTTCAATCAACATATCTACCTAAATGCTGAATTTTCGGTTTTTCCACTACTTCTTATAAACGGGCTTTAACTCAGATTATCAAAATC